TTCCTGATTCTGTGAGGACAGAACCAGAACCTGGTTGAGGCAAACTTTGTAACGCGAGGATGCCCGGGAATTTCTATCGACTTGCATTTGGTATTTATGCTGGAAATCAAGAGCTCTCGACTCCCTCTCTTGATGAAACCCAACAAGGAGACTGAAATAAATTATTGTCTTGTCAACAATGACATAGACATTGGGCAAAACAAGAACAGCTAAGCATTGGAGAGCAAACAAGACTTTTGGCTATGATCAGGATAATGTATTGGAGTTTAACTTGTTGTCTGCCTTACCATACTATTCCCACCATCGATATGGCCACAATGTGCATGGCTTAATTGCATGTCCTTATCCTTAATCAATCACCCATTACCCAAAATGCTTTACAGATTAGACATCATCTGCTCTATGTACAATTTGTGAAGCCAAGATTCAAAAATGTTTTGATGGCCTCTCCAATTTTCCCCATCCTCTGATCAGACAAAATGTATTTCTAGGTAGACTGATGATGTAAGTTAAAATAAACAAAGACAAGTTTGTTCGCCACAAGTTTGATGTTTACAACGTAAAGTTGCCATCGCTATACTATAAATGGAGAAATGGCGTGTTCCATTGAACAAAACTCTATTCACGAGAAATAGTACATTTTGATTCACAGGAAAAAAAATGGTACTGACAACATCCCAATGTGGCGTTGAGCACTCAAAAGAAGTAATCTCATCTCACATCTCACTAATCTACTACCATAAAAAGTTCTCTTATCTTACAAAAAGAACAGATCAGGACATGGGATAAACTTGGAAACTGTGGTACAAGCCAGCTGCTGGATTAGCAAGAAAGAACAAATGCAGTATTTTATCCCGATCTTTTCTACAGCAACTATGCACCATTCTCTGTTAAACCGAATGGCAGGAAATGTTGCTGTTGGATGATGCTCAGCCGCAAGTCTTTTCCTACATTTGAAACCTCCCAGTGAGTAAGAGAACTCCGGACCTCGAAATGAGATGTACTTTTTTACCCAGATGGCAATGTCCTCGGCGCGGGCCTGAGCCTGAGGGGTCTTTAGAAGCATATCAAGGGTTGCAAATTCGTGAACTGCATCCTTGTATTCAAGAACAGGCGCATCAGCATTTACCTTACAAAGCGCCTCTGAGGAAGCAATAGCCCGGTCTCTCATCCAGTCATGTTCTGCTGCAACTGTCAGTGTTGGGGGCATGAGCTTCCGAGGTGGGCCCTTGTCTGGGATAAGTGGATTGGCAGCTGGGTGGTCAAGGCTCAACTCTTCCTCAGGAAGAAAGAGTTTCCATGCAAGTATGCACATTGCCTTTTCATAGAAGTAGGAGTTTGCCAAGTGTTTGCATGGCATTTTCCAAGTTCGGAAAAAATTTGGCTTTAAATAAGATTTTCAAACATTTATGCAAGTGAAGTGAACATTGGCTATAAATACTATACTTGAATGCCAAGAATCTCTTGGCATTGATGCTTTTGATAGACAATGATAAATGAATCCCATCGCAAATTGGTGCTGCCTTTTATTTTTTGTCTTATCACTGAATATGAAATGAAATATCTTGCCAAAACCATCATCTGGTTCTGGTTACAAGAAAAGAACAGGTAAAGAACATGCATTAACATTTTATATACAAGCAAACTGCTAGAAATGATTGGAAGCAACATAGGAGAAAACAAACTGAAATTGTAATAAAGACCAGCTAGAAAACCCCCTAACATGGAATCTGCAGCAGGGGAAGTAGGCAGAGATTCCTGAGGAGACATCACCTTTACAACCATCCTCTGTCCCCTCTCACAGTGCCTGGAAGCTCCACTAATGAAGTAAAATGTCCCTGCATGATCCAAAGTGAAAACTGAGTTCCCATTGTTGGAGAAGAACTTGGGCTGTGTCGAATTGCAGTTCTTATAATCCTCCTCAACCACCTCCATTACTGAGTCCTTTCTAAACTTAAAACCTCCACAAAAACATTCAAAAATCAGAACTATGAAAATGCAGAACGATGATACGATTTAAAATTTAACAGTTAACTATCCTTGTTTTTTACTTACGGATGGTATCACCAATCATTGTAGATTTTGGTGTCATTTTCAGGAGGGACAACCCAACCTTTGCTGCCACCAACTTGGAATTCCAAGGAAGAGACTAAGGAATGTTGCAGGGAAAACAGGAGGATCACTGAAAATAACAGTGGTTTGGAAGCCATTGGCTAAGCTTTTTGGGAACTTTTCAGTAACCAAAAAAAAAAAAAAACCTGGAAGACATGTGAGATTGGTTGTAGGGGAGTGGTTCTTGTGATCATGTGAGTCGAGTACTGGCAGGGGGCTTTGATACGTGGAAACATGGGTAAGAGTCAGTTACTTTTGATGGGGGCAATGGGAGGCAGCAGTTGAAGAGAGATTCTTTTCTGAATAAGTGAGCTGCTTCAATGCTTACCCAAAGAAAAATAAAAGTTAAATAATAGCAAAACTCATGTAATTAAATTACCTAAACAAGTTTCTTTTTATTTATTTATACCCAATTGAACTCATTTTTTTTATTTTACTTAATTGAACCATTATCTCATATGATAAAAATAACATATATTATTCTTAACGATAATTATTACTTTATATATATATATAAATTATTGACATGACATATTGCATTATCAATTTTAATTGATTGTGATTGTTAACATGACATGTCACATCACAAAAAATTTTACATCATTTTACATCATCGTATTTAATATATATATTACGTCAAATTTTACAATACCACAAGTGACAATTTTCACTGAAAATAACATTAAAATTTTATTACAAAATAAGAATTTAAATAAATAAAAAAGTATATATAAATAAATAAATAAAACTTAATTAGATACGATAAAAATATACTTTATTCAAAAGGTTTTTTTGTTATTTTAACAAAAACAAAACTAGAGTTGCTGAGACCTTTATAGTCCTCAGTAGATTTGACTTACAAGTAATGAATCTCAATATGATCTGATGATAGAAAGTACAAGGGGATAAGACACATACGACTACAGACTTCTATACCAAAAATTCAAGTTAATAATGCAGTATTCAACACTTGGAACTATCATGAATTTGCAGCGAAGGAACCAAGTCCATGTAATTGGTCCAACTATGTTTGTTTTTCTGAACCACCTTCGTTTCTTACCTACTGCTTTCAAGTTTCATGCTTGAGAAACTAGGCTAACAGCCATGGATGGCTACTTGTTTTTGTATGCCAAAACATTCCAAAGCTTTAAGGATTTGAAATCAACATAAACCCAAAACTCGAAAACTGCAGGCCATTGCATTCGGACCAATATCCAAAAATGATTATGGACAAAATATTGACATCCTACATCATACAATTTCTATATCCCTAGAGATAACTGATCCTGATTCTTGGTTAGACATGTTGTAGCTTGCATTCTGCTTGAAAGATTTATTGCTAAATATCCGGGCAAGGGCACTCTTTGTTCTCCGAATTGGTTGAGCCCCGTTGTTCGATCTGCTGCTATCATGATTCTTTTTGGCCAGATCCTCAGATAGTGTGTTGACAAGATTCTCAAAATGTCGCCAGTAAGTCGGATACCTTGACACAGATTTGGTCATCCCTCGTAACCTTTATTATGAAATGGAAATGATGTGGTTAACTTAACAAGCGTGGTAGAAGCATCAAAAATGAAAATAAATAAATAAATTAGCTGCATTCTCACCTTCGGGTTAATGCATCAAGTTCAGCTCGCCTACGCTCAGATTCAGGTGGAGAGCCAATATTTGAAATCTTCAACCTTTCAGGATCACCAGACAGCAAAACTAATTTGCCTAAGTAATCCTCTTCTTCCTCAGAAAGATTCTCTGCTTTGATTTGCTCCTTTAGTATCAGAAAGGGGTTAAGAAACCAATCAAAGAAGGTGTCTTTTGGTCTGTTTGTGGCTGTTATTTCAGTATTATCACCTACATAAAAGCAATTCTTTACATGCTGTCAAAGCCATTTGAAAGTTTGTAACAAGTACAATAAATCTCTTTCATAAGAAACATAATTTTGGGAGGCCTAAATAAGAGGAAACACATTTACTTACTCAACAATATGCCAGATTTATTGGCATTCACAGAGCGCAAGAGTGCCTGAAGAAGGCAATAAGCTGGTAAGCCTATGCTGACGACACTACTTCCTTTGCTAGACTTGGCATCTTCAATGTCTTTAGGAGTTATAAGCCCTTCAGAAACCATTTTTTCCCCATGGCGGTGGCACTCCTTAAATAAGCCCTCAAGTAGCTACATTAATTATAAACAAACTTTTATTTAGCACCTGACTATTAATGAACTCCTTAAAATATGAATATCTTCAAAATTTAGTATCAAAGAACCATTAGACGCATACAAGGAAATACTGGTTTTATTCCAAATGGAAACATCCATACACACACAAACCTCACCTCAAGTGGCTTCAAATCAATCCTTGTATTTGTAAGTGAGTCAACACGAGCAGGAGGATGAGGTTTGAAGGAGTCAGAATTTGTGAACGAGCTTGCACTAGAGGTGGATTCCTTTTTGTTTCTACGATACTGAGGCCTGTTTATAAAAGAAAACTTGTAAAATTTATCAAGCCGTATATATCACTATTACAAATTATTAGTGCAGAATATAACCTGGGAAAGCAAGATCCTTCTGGCATGTCAAGCACATCGTTGCTGTATTCATCATAGATGGACACGGAAGCAACAATGTAACAAAGCCCAAACCAAAATGAGGACCCCTGCAATCCAAACCCCACAAAATCAAGCTATATTTTTAATGGAAATAAGGATAAGAAAGACATGGGTTTAGGTCTAATGTGATCCCATGGTGTCAAACATAGTGGAATAAAAAAGGAGCCATTAATCTAGAACACTTGGGTGAATTCAAGAAAAAAACCTCAGACAAGAAACAATAAATTCCAGATTCCAAGATTAAGTGGAACCATTGATGATTAAACAACAATTAATAGGAGCCAACACAATCACTGATTGCACCATTCGCTTTAGGTGAAAATCACATGTATAACTTCACTCAGTAGTCAATGAAATCTCAAAATGCAAATATCAACAGAAAAAAAAATGGAACCATTTCAAGTAATAATAATAATAACAATAAACGGAGATTTGAAGTTTTGTTTTCAAACCAAGCATGTCAACTTCTAAGCTCAAGTTATATGCTGTATTGATGAACTTCCACATGCCTATTCAAATGAAAATTAATGGACAACAATATTTCATCAGAAGACTTAGCAAAGGCACTAAAACTATGTAAAAGATATAAACCTGATAAACAATCACCCCTGCATAGGCACCAAGGAAGATACTAAAGACCATCGAGCCCAACACTGCCCCAACAACAGCCAGTGGCCAGAGTAAGATTGCAAGGCCTGCAAATGGTACGCATATTGTCTCCAAGAAAGGGCCTTCTCGACCTATAAGGTCATGAAATAATCTATTCCACCCCTTAAAGAGCATGTAAGGACTTTTCCATAGGGCAATAAGTGAAATCACTGGCAAATCAACCATAAAACCAAGCACTGCAGCTATAAGAGCTAGAGGAAGATAAAGAAATCTGCAATGAAGTTCATGGAAACTCAGTCAACGAAAAGGGAATTATTTTCTGGAATAAAAAAAACAACCTCCCACAAAGCTTAACTGCCTTGCTGTATAGAAACCTAAATTGCAAGCACACCTGCCAAACTCTCTTCATTCATAATTGGCTTTTTACCTTCTACAATATAAAATTTAAATGAACTAGTTCGTGGACAATACTTGCTGTATATATACTTTGAAAACCACAATTATCCTTTTATTAATTTTACCCATATAGCATTTCTAATGAAGCATTTAGTATTTATAGCAGTTAAAGGTAAAAATTATCAGTTTTATGTACAAACCTCTATATTTGAGGAACTGAAAACATATAGCATACACTATTGCCAGAGCATTACAAACAATTATCATCACAAATAAGGGAATATTTTCATAACACCATCTCTTCTTTGTAAGTTACCTAAATGATCAAATAAATTTGGGAACTAGCCAGATGCAGCCACCAACAAAGTCTGGACAAGAGAATTTACTTGATCTAATTTCTTAGCAATAGAATCTATAATGCATTTGCTTGACTCTACGAGTGAAAAACACCAGTGAACTCACAAAGAAAAGACTATATGTTTTGATCAACTTATTGACTACTGATAGTGGGAGAATCTTGTCTGTGATCCTAAGCATTTCAGGTATAATAGGCATAAAAATTGAGGAAGTTAAAAGCAGCAAATCAATTATGAAGGAATAGAATGATGTAAGGCCTCAAAGTTATAAGTTAATGGGCTGTCATTTAATTCAAAACTCATTATCTGGGTTGCTGAGGGTCACATGATCAAGGCATAAATGATTCACTTGGCCAATGACAGCAACATGACTTAAAACAGGCAGCAAGAACAGCATATCTACCCGATCTCATAGTATTTTCCATTTGGAGGCTCTTTCTGTCGCAACTCTTCCATATATGAGGTGAAGGAATGGAAACAAACATCGTTGAAGTCCCTGACAAAAGTGAAGCTTCCCTTGACAGTGCTCCAAGTACCATCCTGGAAGCAGAGTGACATATAAGTCTCCCTCCCAAGATACCAGAACAAGAGAAGTTAACACATGTAAAAAGATTATCAGAACAAGGATACCTAAGACATACATAAAAACAGTGGAAAAACACATTAGTCTTTCCTTCTCCTACAGCATCAAAAGTGGCAAACATTGGTGAAAGAAAGCCGTATAATATCCCCCCTATAATGCTTCCAACAATGCCAACCATGACCCATAATATCAATAAAACTGGTAGGCATACGCAGATAAGGAGCTTCAAAACTGGCCCTAATAGTTTAGCTCTGCCCAGTAAAGAATTAACAGAATAAGAGACAGAATACAATAATGTAATATTGAGGCAGAGCAAATGGAAAAGTCAAAGGTCAAGCAGATCACCTCACAATGCTATAACAAGTCCGGTAACCATGAAATGGCAGAAGGCCCAATATGATAGATGAGTTTCCAACTGTCATTATAAGACATATTGGTGCGCAGAAAATGATTCCTGAAGATATAGTGCAGTAGAAGGTTTGAATTGTTTAGTTCGATGCTAATGCTTCCTTGTTAGTAGGTGTGTACAGACCAAATGCAAAATGCACTGCATTTCATAACTAAAATGCCATTCTATTTTCTCAAAACAGAAAACCTCAAACACCAGTATCAGGAATGGATTTTACATCTTATCAAGCAGAGGAACTACCATTAGCAAATGCCTAGAAAGGAAAAGTTTACAAAAAAAGGAACCAAGCTGGATTAACCCTACAGCCTTTATATCTTTTTCATTTATTGCTAACAAATGCTGTTCTACAGATAAAAATAATTTACAAATCACAAAGGAAAAACTAACAATAACTAGTAAAACATATATTTAATTTAAACAAAAAAGCTCTAGATGAAAAGTATCATTTTGTACCTAGATCACATTCAAATGGAACATATTTCCTTAGAATTTAAATCCTCAAAGTACCAATTTATGGAACAAGAAAGAAGCAAAACAACTCAAAACAAGAAAAACAAATTTAAGGCACTCACCTTTGATTGTGCCTAAAAGCAGCAAGCCAATGAAGTAAGGTAGAAAGCATATAAAGTTCCACAAAGTAGCCAAAAATCCCTTTGGAGGCTCCATATTGCTGCTAACTACTGACCTTCCAGATCTCCATAAAATTCACTATAATCCCATCTCAGAAATACCCCAAATCCTCCCTGGAAAACACCCCAAAAACGAAAAAGCCCAACTTTTATCCTGTCCCAGTTACCGATAGAGATCAAATAAAACAACAGGAATATAAAGCAAAAACAAAACCCAGTTCACTAAAACCAATTTGCTTCAAAACCCAACATCAAAAACTTAACAAAAAAATGGATATCCGTTTTCCTCGTTCTAGCTCCAAAACCATGGAACCTGCAAAAAACTTGAGCCTTGGTTTTCTCAAAGTTAAAAGCTTTGAATGTTGAAGGGTCTTTGAATGAATAAAAATATTTGAAAAATATCACATGCGATGTGCGGATGAAGTAAATTTGATGGTCGATATACCGTTGTTTATCTAAAGCTTGAATTTGAGAGGGAATCGTGGACAGAGTAGTAACTGTCAAGAGCTTGGAATAAGAAAAGAATTCCTTGGGTTCTCTTCTCTGTATTCTTATTCTTTTCTCCCTTTTTTTCACTAATAATTTTGCTTTATTTATTTTTATTTTTGCTTAAACTGAAAGTTAAGCAATCTTCAGATACTGTGCCACCCTCTGACTCAGACGATAAACATATTAAAACTCGAAACGAGGTACTTTGAAAGCTGTATCTTGGCAGTCCTGTCAGCGTAATTAACGTTAAAAACTTGAACTAGAACACTGAGTTTCCTCTAAAAGATAACTAAAACCAATTGATTTCCGAGCGTAACTAAAATAAGGCGTGGAAGCATCAAAACATGGCTCTGGCAACGTCATTTAAAAAAATGGAGTGATTTTAACAGAAAACCGGACTAAGTTGTTGAGCTGCACGCTTCTTCATTATGATGCCACGTTGCAAAGTAATCCCACTGGCTGCAGAGTGAGAAAAAGAGCGCGTGGTATTAGACGTTAGTCTTGCTTCAGCGACCGGTCGGTCAAACAGGTTGTGGACGGAAGGTGCCGCTTTATTACCTAATTATTTAGTAATTTAAATTTTGTAATGATGGACAAATTTATCAAAGTCAATTTTTTCATTAAAATAAACAAATAAATTCATAAATATATATTTATTTATTTATTTGGAAAGAGAACTCAATTTCTCTACGTTCGCACCTAATTACATCAAATATTCGGATATAATTTATATTTATAATAAAATAAATTAAAAAATAATTTTTTTAAAAAGTAAAAAATATTGTTAATAAATCATAAACATAATAATTAATTAATATTTATTAAGTCTTGCTCTCCCTAACAAAAGTAGCTCATTTTGGTTTTTTATAATTTAAATACGAGATTTTTATAATAAAATTTGAAGTCTAATTGATTAAAATATTTTTTTTAAAACAAAAATATAAATAATTTTTACAACAATAATAACAACAGAGTAACTTTTTTAATATGCAGAATTCAAGATAGATAATTTGTTGAATTTTTTAAATATTAAAAAATATATCAATTTTTTATAAAAATTATGTATTCGAGATTAATATTAATAAAATATTACTAATAAGATTCAAACTTAAAACGATTTATGTTGAGACAAATGAACTTTCAAATTAAGTTAATTAAAGAGTTTTTATAACGATTTTTTTTTAATAATGATCCACTAGTGATTACAAGAAATTTTTTTTAAATAGCAATTTAGCTAATTTTAATAAATACTTTTAAACACTCCTTAATTAATAAACCTTATTTTAAAACTCGAACTCTTTTCTATGAATAAAAAATGTGAAAAAGAATATAATTATATACAAAACATGTTACAATGAGGAATTTTGTATGTTATGTCACTTTATGCCATCATTGATACTTTTCTTTTCTTATTTACACATTAAATTTAAAAAAAATTCTTTCAATTTAAAAAGAAGATAAAAAAAGGGAAGTTAAGGCAAAGTTAAAGCACATGTACTTTATTTTGTGCATGATTTTGAAAGTTCTAAGACAAATTGCAGTTAAACTTGATCCACAAAGTTTTGATTCCAATCTAATTTTCAGAATAATAAAAAAAATTTAATTAAAATTAACATAAAATATCAATCAAAGAATATTCAACCTAATTTAGGGATTTGATAAAAATAACCCATAATTTGACCTTTCTAGTTGGAAAGTTGGGAGGCATCCCAGTTTGGGATTCATATATATATAAATATATATATATATATTATTTTGGGGAAAATTGTAAATGTGACAAGTGGTCCACCCTTTTCTTTTCTCATTTTGCTTTGTTACATGAGTGGGATTCCTTTAAGCATTATTTTATTGTTTTTTGCTAACCTCTTTATGCCCAATTGATAGGAAAAAACAAAGTAATAACAACTGTTTACTCTATCCTATCCTACAAAAAGTGGCATCTCACTCTCATTTATCTAGGTATAATAATTTTAAAGTTAATTAAAATATTATTTATAATAATTTTTATATTAAATATAATAGTTATAATTAGTTAAATTTTTTTTATCCTTTGTAAGTAACTAATATAATAATTTTAATATATTGAAAAAATATTAGTTAATATAATAACTTTAAATAGCACTTTCAAGGTACCCTTTGACAAATTTCTTGATTTTATAATATTGATCTACTCAACACATAAAATAAAAAACATTAAGCCAAGCTAGAAGGCATTTTTAAGATTAATTAAAATATTATTATAATAATATTCTTGTGTTAAATACAGCAATTGGCAATTAATTTGATGATTTCTAATACATTGGAAGAAGATATTACTTATTATAAAAACTTTAAAAAAAAAGCATTACCACTCATAATTAATTAAATTATTATATTATTAAATACACTATCAATAAAAAGTGTTGAGATTATAAGCATGTTTAGGTTTTGTTGCACGTTTATTTTGCTATTAATTATAAATAAATATTTAAGCATGAAGTTAATATTTTTTGTAAGTTAATATTTTTTGTTAAATGAACGCATGACAAAAATATGTATCTTGTGGGTCTTTTTTATTCTTTCCCTAATTGTTCATTAAAGCATAATTATTTTGTTAATTTGAATGATAGGTTTAGTCGATACCTAGGTTTTCAATTAAATTATGTTGAAAGGAAAGAATAATGTTGGAATGTTGTGACCATTAGGGCAAATAAGTTATAAGATTATTCATTAAGAATAACTTATAATATAAGAGAGAACTTAATATTGTTTAACTTGATTTCATTAATAGCATATCATTTTTCATGATAAAATTATTTGCACCATAAAATAGACAATTTTTTTTTATTTATGTTAAAGTGCCAAATGACCTCATTTTTGGCCAAAAGGCCAAGAGCCAAAAATAAAAGATGAGTTAGAAAGGCTACATATGTAATTTCATCCCTCATATTAATAATAATAATAAAATAATATAAGCGTCAATTATTTGATCGATGTCGAGGGAAGGATTCCCTAATTAAACTAATCAACCAACTTCTCAACTAAAGTCGATTGATTGAACCATTTTTGGTCGAAACCATCAATTTGGTAGTTTTTAATCGCATGGATGTTCAGTCCTAGCCGAAAACACATTTAATGTTCATAAAATTTTATTAAAATGAAAATTCAAAATCATATTTTGAAATAACTATAAAAATTTTATAAATAAAAAATAATAAATATAATTAAAATTTGATATTAAAAATTATTTTTTATAATTGAATATCTTAAAATCACTATCTAAACTTGTGACAAGTAATAATTTTATTATTTAAACTGTAATTATAAGATATCTTAAATTTATTTAATAAAATAAAATACAATAAAGTTTCCGATTATAACATATTTATGAACATCGCTATTACGTCTCGCTTTCCTATTGTTAATCATTTCTTTTTCTTCACTCGGTCTATATTTATACGCCAAGAGCCTTCCGTCACGTAAACACTTACTAGGTAATTTGATTAACATCGAAAATTAGCAAATACATGGACTTTGGTTTCTCAGATAATCCTTTCCCACTACGAAGACTTTCACACTTTCAAGAATAGTAAAGATGGGGCATGGAAAGGTGCGAAATAGGAATAGAGATTCCATGTTCCACCAAGGAAATTTCCCAACCCGAGTAAGGTTGGAAGTTGTAACCATGAGTACACAAGGTGTAGTTTGGATTTTCAAGCAAGGCATAAAGATTATCTATAACGTTTTCAATGCCTTTTAAACTCTTGTAAGATAGATTCCAGCATTTTATTGGAAATTCATCTGCATACAAGATATGTAATTCCCACATGTATGGGTGTGTGCTTGGTAAGAAAGAAACGTGAACCCGGAAAAAATAATTTTCTTTCCATCCAATCTTTTGTAAAATGTGAGAAAAGAAAATAATAATTACATAAAAAGTAAAAATATTATATAATTATATTATTTTATTATATTAATATGTCATATTATATTTATTGTATAATGTCAATATATAACGTGATATAAAAAATAAAAAATAATATAATTAATTAACTATTAATAACAAAAATCATATTCTTTTTATTTTTTCACCTATGACCTTCCATCCTCTCACTTTTCCACCCTACCCAACAAAGCCTAAATGTCAAAATGGTAATTGCAAATTAACTTTATTAAGGTTTAGATAGAGGAGGTTTTTATTTGCCTTATCCAACAACCCCACCACTGTGCTTTTTGATGCTAATGAGTTGTACATCCCTCCCATTCCCATACCTTAAAAAGGTAAAACTTTATGTGACTGTTGTAGAGAATACCTGATATCAGCACTAGAACTTTTGGCCTTAAAATAATCACCAGATTCCAGCTTCCAGAGATAATGCTTTTCAATATTCTGATTTTTGTTTGACGTTTTGCATCACTGGCACTTTTATTTTGTTGATTGTAGACAATTATGACATTTATTTCAGTTGCACTTCCATTAATTAATATCCTGACACCAGTGCTTCAATGGCAGACAACATCCCCACATTGGCTGGAATCCTTTGTCTGAGTGTCACCTCTTTAGTTGAGTCCTGAATGGATGCCATCTTTATTTAATGCAAATCCCATCATCAGACTCATAAAAAGGTCAATTGCAAAAGTTAGAAGCAGATAAGATGATGCCATCTTTTCTTAATGCAAATAGGAGCTGTATATTGCTGTATTTCATTCTGGTTTTTATAGCTAATAATCCAAATGTACGAGCATGTAAAAGTTTCAGTTGTAGACAGTACCTAAATGCTTATTGGTTTCCTCCTTTCTTTGCGATGTAAATTTCCTTCCTATCAAAAGGTTTACTTCTTCGAGGAACATCGGCTAAGTTACAGAATTCAGTCAAAGTTTTCCTAATTTGAACTTTCCTCTTCTTGTCCGGTGGCCTAGGTCCCAAAACACTTAAGTCAGTAGTTGCTCCATAGACTTGAGATGACTGCACAACAGCATCATAAGCCTTTGAGGAGAGGTTAAGGCCCTCATTATGAGCTCTCAAGTACAACTCATATGCAAGCCTTGGTTTACCATCCTTTGCCAGAGCCTCAATCAGCATCTGATAAGTGATCTCATTGGGTGAGATGTTCTGGACTTTCATCCGGTGAAACCATTCATATGCTGCGCTGCTCATGCCATTCCGAGCACAACCACTAATGATTGCATTGTATGTGACAACTGTTGGCTCAATGCCAGATGATGCCATCTCTT